TGAACTTAGTGTGTGTGGAGATGAGGTGAGATGGTTATTACGCTTATGGCAACGTGAACTAAGTGTGTGTGGAGATGAGGTGAGGTGGTTATTGCACTTATGGCAACGTGAACTAAGTGTGTGTGGAGATGAGGTGAGGTGGTTATTGCACTTATGGCAATGTGAACTAAGTGTGTGTGGAGGTGAGGTGAGGTGAGATGGTTATTGCACTTATGACAACGTGAACTAAGTGTGTGTGGAGGTGAGGTGAGGTGAGGTGAGGTGGTTATTGCACTTATCGCAGTGTAGTGTTCCCCCTAGGCACATTTAGGAGGGCACTGCGCCCTGCCCTTTGATTTTTGCGCCCTGCCCTTTTTGTTTTGCGCCCTGCCCTTTTCGCCTCAATCCCAGGTTTTTTTCAGCTGTGCTTGATTTTACACGCTGCGTGAACTAAGTGTGTGTGGAGGTGAGGTGAGGTGAGGTGGTTAATGCACTTATATAGCAACACGAACTAAATGTGTGTGGAGGTGTTACAGAAGTGTCATTCGATTCAAACCCGCCGTGATACAACTGAAATCACTAAATTCCGTTTTGAGCAGCGTCAAACACATCGCTCAGTCTGCTCATCGTCAGGTCGGACAGTAATGCCACACAATCATACATATATAAACCGTTAAACATTGCGTACTATATATACTACGAAAATATAATAACTAAGACCACGCTTATAACGAACTGCGGTTATAACGAACTATAATTAGTTGTCCCTTTACTTCGGGATAACCGTAGTTTACTAATGTCTGTATGCATCATGATCACGACACGGGAATCTTGAGGTTCCTTCATTGCACCAATGTCAGGAATCGAACCCGGGTCGATGTAGATATAACGATGCAACGAAGATGAAAACAACGATGAACTTACGCATGCATTTCACGAATATCTGCCCCTCACTCACTCACTCACCCTCCTGAATGAGTCATACGCTGGCTTCGCATTACCGTTGCTTCTCAATACCTGTACCCATGAAAATCCGGGTTAGAATTGATCTTCAGTAACCCATGCTTGTCGTAAGAGGCGACTAACAGGATCGGGTGGTCAGGCTCGCTGACTTGGTTGACACATGTCATCGTATCCCAATTGCGCAGATCGATTCTCATGCTGTTGATGACTGGATTGTCTAGTACAGACTCGATTATTTACAGCCCATCGCCATATAGCTGGAATAGTGCTGAGTGCGGCGTAAAACTAAATTCACTCACTCATTAGAGGCGGCTGTCGTAAATCACATCGGAGGCCACTGATTACACGTCACGTCCCTGATGGCGATGCAAATGCAAATTAGCTTTCAGTTAATGGCCGATCATATTAGATTTAACGCAGAGTTGATAAATGGCTATGCTACTGGTGAAATGTTCCCCTTTCAGAATAGGTCAATGATTGGTTGATCAGAGGCCATGACCAGTAACGCTTTGCTTTACCCTCATAATAGGGGCGGGGGGTAGCATAATGGTTAAAGCGTCCGATCGTCACGCCGAAGACCCGGGTTCGATTCCCCAGATAGGTTACAACGTGTTAAGCCCACTTCTGGTGTTCCCCGTCGTGATATTAATAGGATACTGTTAAATGCGGCGTAAAAACATACTCACTCACTAATAATATACTGCCCTTTGAAGAGATAAGGTGAACTGGCATGCAAGTAATAAATACTGGCGATCAATATGTTCCTGTGTTGATAAAAATTCACTCAATTGTATCTCAAAGTCAATTGCACGGCCACGGTGTAAGCATCTGTACATTAACCACTATCGAATATTTACGACAACAGGTGTGAACGAAACTTTGAGTGTATCCTATCCAACTGTGGTACCTGACACAAACACATGCAAAGACAAGGCAATGGTTTACCTGATAAAACAGAGGGACTTGACATATTAGCACTGGACATCATTTTAGTTTCTGACGCGCCTACCATTAGGGCAGTGCAATTTAACCGGTTTACCGGTATTTACTGGTTCAGACATGAAAACGATACGTATTGCAATACGCTGATCGAAAACCGATATTTTGACTTGCATTCGGAAAATTTCGTAACATTCGGAAATCTTCGGATATTTCCTTTTTTTCATGTGTGCCAAATATTATTCACATTTTTATTTTTAATCATGAATAAAAGTTGTTATTAAAGCTTAAGCAAACATAGTGACTTTGCTGTGTATTTGCGCTAATAAATCAGGCATTACCTCGATTATAAGTAGTTTTTTGTTTAAAAATACTTCATGCAATATATTGCAATACAAATCGCAATACATGCTTTCGCATCGCAATATACCGCAATATGAAAATTCTCTGCAATACCCACCCCTACCACGAGGACCTGATTGTATACCATTGGCAAATCAACGCATAAATGAATGGAAATAAACATGCATACGTCTGCGTCTCATTAATTGCTAAGGTTGTTGGAATGATGTGGTCACTTAAATGATCAACAGGACAAGTATGTCCACAAGGAAGGGGTGTGTTCACCATTACCCCAACATTGGATCCAATTCTGCGTGTCTTGTACTCGTTTGTAGCATTTCATCGTAATACGTATCTTGCAAATATACTCATGTCAATAATGGTTGTCACCCCTCCCCCCCCACCCCAACCCCACCCACACCTCACATCCACAGCCCACACCCCATCTCCAATTATAAAAATTGAAGGGGTGACAACCATTATTGGCATGAGTATACGGACACATACGACGTTACATGATGATACCATACACAGCTTCAGTCGTAGATCTCCAAAATACATTGCTGTTTAGATGATTGAGGACATACACTTGGATACATCATGAACATTTCTGAGTCGATATTCGTTTCGGTAAGTCAAAATAAAAAATATTGAATTACAAATTATTCAAGCGATTAAAAAATATACTCAGTAACAAAATATTAAAGCGACTAAAAAAATGTTACATTCCCTTCTGTCCATTAGGTAATTTGTTTTCGCTGGTAGATCCATTAACTCGAAATCACAAATTTGATGAACCGATCTATCACTTTGGCGGCATCTAGTTAGCATCCGGGCTTATCAAGTAAGGGATATTGCTTTAGTTGAATGATTGATCATTAAATATATTTGATATTAATGATATTTTAACTAGCATTTACAGAAAAAATGAGGATATTCAAGGACTGCAAGATTTTAATAGAGTTTTAATTACAAGAGATCGAGGATTACTCTCTGAAACTGACAAATGAAAAATGTGATGTTTAGCTTTTGAGTAGCTGTCATTATGTTCAAATTAAAGATACTGTCATTCAGAGGGCGGTGCCGGGGTAACTCGGAACGTTGGTTGCCTCGTTAGGGCCAAGGTTAAAGCTCAGTGGGTTAATCGTTTGCTCGTCGAGCCTAAGATTCCGGTTCATTCTCTGTTTACGTGCAATTCATGAATTGTTGAAATTGATGAAAGTGACGTAGGCTCATCTTCACTCAGTTTAGAGGTGAGGTGAAATATAGTTTAACGTCGTGCTGGAGAATGCACGATCAATACATTCGTATTTCGTCGAGGAAATCTGTGCACACATATCTGTGCACACAATCTTTCGCTCATATGACGATGTGCATGCGTTTGTATGTGTGGCTGCTTGTACTATAGCGTACCATGCCGCATGCATACATGCATAACATGCATACTCCACTCAGATACGTTATACTGACTCCGAGCCGACCAGTCCTTGTTGTACCCATTAATGCCGAGCGTCAGGCAGGAACCAACAAGTACCATATTTTAACGTCTTTTGAACTGACGCAGCCGGGAATCGAACCTACGACCTTCCGCTCTAACCACTACACCACGGAGGCGGGCCAAGAGGTTAGAGTAAAAATAGGTATGACTCGTCAGAGCAAAAGGATAGCCAGTTTTGACCATCCGTAAAAATAGATTCAGTTTGATGGAAAATACAGATTAACTGTGAAAAATGACCACTGTTTATCAGTGATGACAGGGTAAGCATGTCCTACCCACAACATTTCTTTTGGTTGGTAGTTGGTTAACGCCGCACTCAGTAATAGCCCATCTATGTGGAGGCGGTCAGTGAAATAAAAGAGACCAGACAATCCAGTGACCAACGTCATGCGCATCGATCTACGCAGCTGGGATACGATAACCAAGCGAGCGATCCCGACCACCCGATCCCGTTAGTTTAATCTTACAAGCACGGCTTACTTAAGACCAATTCTAAGCTGGATCTTCACGTGTTCTCCCCTACCGGTAGCACCCGCCGTTCACAAAAAGAATTTCAATATATTCCCCACCAGTGTCTCCACACTTGGTCAAGTCAAACGTCATCCGGGTCCTATCAAGAGGAGAAGGCGGAGATAATCGGTAACAACTCATACCGGCATTATCTGAGGTGGAATAAAGGAAATGCATTAGAGGGTGCTCAGTCAGGATGCCATCCTCGATAATCTCCAGGGTATACGTTCCGATAAATATAAAAAATGTCCACTAGTACCCTGGGTGCAGCTATGGCTCGGTCCGATAATTTTATTACCTCCCTTTGTTGGGTTTTTATCCAATCAGGTGTCTATGCTGGGAAGTTGAGCGTACCAACCACAAGGTTTCCATCATAACTCACTTCCACTTCTTTTATCTAACCGATTAAACTTGGCAACAGAGTTGTTGCAGAGGTACTCTGAAAGAGGTAGAAGGACACAACAACGTATGGTATGGATTTACAACTTCTTTAATATTTTAACACGACGTTTCTGGGCCACTTCTTGCCCCTCGATCAGGTGAATGACAGAATATGATACAAGCAGAATATATAGTATGTACAAGAAGCCAGTGAGATAGAATTACAGATTGAGATGTACAGATATTAAGTGATGTTTATGCAAAGGACGTACAGAATGTGTATACAGTGTATAGGATTGGATATACATGATAGGACTGATTGGAAGCCACTTATGAAAACAATGAAGGATGATGGAAGCCACTTATGAAAACAACGATAGGAAAACACTTATCTGAAAACACACATCAAGACATGTACAGTGATTAGGGGAACAAGGGAAACCATGTACACTGAAATCATTCATCTATGCACCATGCATTCGATAGAAAAACACCCTGATCCCTGTTGATTTCTGGTTTGGTGCGGTGGATCCAGATGGCCTCGATCAATTTCATTTTCAGTTTTCTTTAGAAGTCTACTGATGTGATGACTGATGGATCCAACATAGGGAATATTTATGCAAATAGGGGATGGTTCAGGCGTAGTAGGAGGTTGATCTTGATGTTCTAACAATTTCTTGATGGTGGTTTCTACTGGGTGTCTCGGGTAGCTATTGAGGGTGATGAAGGTAGATTTGAGGTGGGCTAATTCTTGTTGTATATTGGAGGTGTTGCAGATGTTCTTGGCACGTCTTGCAAGCGTAAACACGATGGCTGTCTTGACCTGGGGATGGTGGTTTGAGTGATGGTGGATGCATTGGTCAGTATGGGTTGGCTTACGGTAGACAGAAGTGATAAGCTGGTTGTTGGAGTTCTGGATGGTGATGTCTAGGAAAGGGAGTTGATGAACTTTCTCAGTCTCCATGGTGAAATGGATACGCTGGTCTTGTTTGTTCAGATGGTTGAGAAGGATGGAGGGATCGTGACTCTTTTCCGGGATGGTGAATGTGTCATCAACCTTCCAGTACCAGCATAAGGGTTTGATGGGGGAGCTGGAGAGAGCAGCTTCTTCAAAGTTGGTCATGTAGATCTCTGTTATGACAGGTGACAGAGGAGAGCCTATGGGTAAGCCATGTATTTGCTGGTATATTTGGTTCTGCCAACTGAAATAAGAAGTCTCAAAACCACTATGTACAAGATTGATGATGAAATTCTTCAAAGGCATTTAGAAGTTGGTGTAGTAATACAAGACAAATATTATGGATAACAACTTCTTGGTATATTTTTCCACAACGTTTCTGGGCCAGTTCTTGCCCCTTCTACAGGTGAATAATAGTGATAGTGAACAGTACAGTATATATATAGATACAGGAAGCCAGTGGGTAAATTGAGTATATACAAGGGAAAAAGGAGGTATTATTAAGTATGTACAAACAATGCAGTGACATCAAAGAGCAGAATACAATCATAGGGTATGTTTTTTACAATAAGGGCAAGGGTGTGTTTACATAGCAGAGTGGTTAAAGCAGATTGAGTTTGAGAGTCTATGATTTCTGGGTGATGAGCCAGGCCCTGGGGAGGTAAACCCTTGATCTCTGTTGATCTCAGGCACTAATCTTCTTATGTTGATTGTCTCACACAGTTTTCTTTTGCGCCAATTGCTGATGTTGGAAGCCAGGATTTTGGTGTGTTGCCAGTTGATAGAGTGGTTGGGATTGTTAACGATATGTTCTGAGAGGGCAGATTTGAGATCAGATTTTCCAACTGAAGTTTTATGTTCTTTTAGTCTTATGTTGAAGGGCCGACATGTTTCTCCAATATAGAAACGTTGTGGAAAAATAAACCAAGAAGTTGTTATCCATAAGATTTGTCTTGTAATAAGATTGATGATGCTGTCAACGGATAATTTAGTGTCTATGTCATTGATGCAGACTTCTAACTTGATGTGCAGAATGTCCAGGGCTTCGTCTAGTGGAATGTTTGTAAAAAGATCTACCACATCATAACTGACCATGGTGCCATCAGTGTCAATGTTCTTGAGTTTTTCTACAAATGAGGAAGAGTCACTCATGAAGGAGCGTCCTTCTTTGCCTAATGGTGCTAACAGCCTGGACAAGAACTGGGCAGTATCATAATACACAGAACCACGAGAACACACCAGTATCCTAGTTTTTACAGGAGATTTGTGGATTTTAATGGTGGCACGTGCATAGGGTTGCTGAGAGTTTATGGGGTTGCGTTTGTTGTAGATGACATCGCTGATCTCATTGTTGCTATGGAGGGTCTTGAGTTGTTTTTTATGCTTCCGCTCAAGCTTGGCCGTAGGATCCTTGTCAAGGATCTTATAGGTGTTGTTGTCACTGAGGGCGTTGTTGACTAGGCTGTCCATCACTACAACTGCCTTTCCTTTGTCGGCTTCCGTGATGGTGATGTCCGGGTCATTGCGAAGTTCGGTGATGGCACGGCGTTCCTCCTTTGTGAGGTTGCTCCTCATCTTGGGTTGGCTCTGAAGGAGGGCAGAAATCTGGTGCCATAAGTAGTCGACGTTGCCATTTGGGTGCAAGTTGTTGTAGACCACTTTCTATGCTGGAGATGAAGTTTGGGTGTAGGAATGAACTTGAGTCCTTTGGATAACAGGGATGTCTGGGCTGTACTCAGCGTTTTGCTGCTCACAGTGTTCTTAGTGTAATTGTCCAAACATATTCTCGGATTTGCAGATGATGGGGCAGCTTAATTTTGATGTTTCAATTTGTCGAATTTGGAGATCTGGCGTTCTTCACCTTCTGGTCTAACAATGTGTTGGTCGATTTAGTGAGATCTGACACCTTTTGGAAGAGGTTGGTGTCCAGTGTGGATTCTAGGTTGGAGGCTGATATTTGCAGGTCCTTCTCAAGGAAGGTCTTGCTACGTCTCAGATGTTGGACCTGGTGTTTGAGGATACGAGTGCTGGCTTGTTGCAGGATCTTGCTGATGGCTTGATTTGGTGGCAGAATCGGGGATTTCAATTTGAGTCCGTAGGGATGATGTTATTATCTATGCATCTCAGTAGAAAGGTCAGGTTATTCTTGTTTTTTAAGTACTTGGAGTTGAGGTAGAAGGAGTTCTTGCGTATATATTTTGAAAATTTCAGACCTGTCAATTTGTCTGTATGATTTTCCCCCTCAGTCTTGAGTCGCACAGCGAGCAAACCTTCGCAGCTGCGGTCGCTATATTTGTTGACACTGGCAAGCTCAGTACTTGTAACGGCTTATCTGATTGGCTACTGTGAGAAGGCGGAGCAAACAAAGGGAGGTAATAAAATCATCGGGCCGAGCCGTAGATGCACCCAGGGTACTAGTGGAGATTTATTGGAACGTATACCCTGGGGATTATGGAGAATGTCAGGAGGCGAGTCATGGGGAATTTAATCAAACTCACCTTCTGCAGCTACAAATTATTCCATTTATGGCGTCTGCGCATGCTATTTGTCCGAGAGCATCACCACTAATGATCGACATTGGTTCTCTCAGCTGACGTTGTTCTATGACACTTTAATGCAGTATTAGTATTGCCCAATGACAACCTGACTTCACTGACATAACAGTCACTTATGATTATGTCCTTACTATCTAAGAAAACAAACGGCATGGCATAAGCAACTGACACCATCCGATTATACGTAATTATTAATGGGCATGAGGCCAAAAAATGTGTCTAAATTTTGTTCTCTCGTTTTGTGTATACTCCAAAGTAAAGTGTCACCCTAAGTTACAATTTGCATCAAACATTTGTCAGATATATCAGGTAATGCATGTTTATAACAACCTGACCGAATGTCACTGTTTTCTTGAGACGACAATTTCTCATCAACTGATCTGGGTTTCAATATTAAGGGTACCCATCTTGAAAAGAGCTTCAGCATGTGAAATGTATCGGCACGGATCACCTGTGCCGACCCAAACTGTTAGAAAACCTAATGCTCACACTACTTCAGTGTATTAGTGTTAGATCCTCTCGTTGCTTCGATTATTTGTTCATTATTGCAATAATATTCTCGACATGTGTAGTATTTTCTCCTCACTTCGATGAGTTTCTCAACTTCACGTTTCTTTCGAAATCTTGACGTCTTGATCATTTTCTCGTTGCTTCAATTAGTTTCTCAAAATAACCAGTAATCTCGTTATTTCACGTTTCTATAAAAAATAGTTCGGTTATTTTCTCGCATCTTCGAAAGTTGTAACGTTCAGCGTTACCAAATGAGTGAGTATAGTTTTACTCCGATTTTAGCAATAGTCCAGCAATTTTACGGCGGGGGACAACAGAAATGGACTTCACACATTGTACCCGTGTGGGGAATCGAACCTTGGTTTTCGGCGTGACGAACAAACGCTTTAACCACAAGACTACCCACCGCTCCAGTGTTACCAGAGCCTAATGTTTCCCCTTTGTTTTAGGAGGAGGTATATTTTCCAGCGAGATTTCGCTTTACTTCGATTAATTTCTCGTTGTTTCTTTCAAAAGCTCGAAATTTACAAAAAAATATGGAATAGAAAATACTTACAAAAACGAGAAAATAATCGAAGCAACCCGAAAGTCAAATCACGTTGGAAAACGTACACTACCCTAAAACGTAGCAGAATTAACCTTTGTTAAAACTGAACGTAATATTGTCGGTCATCCAAAGTCAGCCTCCATTTATGATGTGGCATCTCTAAGACAACCATTTTATACCTCTGCCTGTTTAAATTCTGCAGCCATTTTTGTACAAAAAATTGAACGTGATATGCAGTCATTCCAAGCATGCGCTAGCCCCATGTGTATTTTCTTTGAAGAAATGCCATTTTCATTCACAGCTCATTTCTTATTTCTATTGAATTCCCGTGTGGGCTTCTCAGAACAGCCGCAGTTATCCGCCTGTAACTCTGCGTTATGTCTTCAAAGATTATTTTTCGCACACTTGTTGAAACCTCTCATTACACACAGTAATATCTTGAGGCCACAAACGTTTTGGCTTTCACTCGTAAATATCTCAAAACATCATTAAGGTTAAATGTAGACCTCGTTGACTTTCACATATATCGATTACGTTAAAATTATAAGAACTGAAGCCTTCCAATACGAATCCTGTCTGGATTTGTTATGTTCTTCACGCTGGTAATGGTGAAATGTGTTTTTAAATCCCTTCCGAAGACGAGGGGTGCAATTGCTTTAAAATAAATGAAAATTGATTTGGGATATCCAGTTTAATCTTGAAGATGGGGTGGCGTGGTGAAATGGGGTCTGAATTCGCTTTAGGTGCATCCACACGTGTGTGTGGCGCATTTAAACTGTCCTTGGCCTCATCATCAGTAAATCTCTACTACGTGTGAATACCAAAGGCCCATATACATCTTAATGTGTATATTCCAAACAGGCATGAAGGCGTTAACAAAAAAGGGAAACAATATGTTAAAATGAAAAAAGGAAACATCTTAAATGCATGCATATAAAGCACATAAAACACACACACACACACACACACACATATATACTCACATACATACATACATACATACATACATACATACATACATACATACATACATACATACATACATACATACATACATACATACATACATACATACATACATACATACATACATATATATACATACATGCATACATACATTTTTAAAACATCATTTCCAGCTTTCTAACTTAATTCAAACTTCTCATGCATAAAAGATTAATTGAATTAGATTGGTAATATCTTCAGTTTTGATTTGTTAAAAATTGTTAGACAAAAATCTATCCCGAAGTTATTTACAAGCCGTTCTATAAGACTTATGGGCGCTTTCAAGTGCAATCCAGCAAAAATAACATGGGTTTATCAGTGAAACCGTATCATGCACACCAAGCCTACCAGTTCGTTATTTGTCCTCTTACTTCCCAGAGGACTGACTGACTGAGTTTGGTTTTACGCCGCTTTTAGCAATATTCCAGCAACATCACGGCGGGGGACACCAGAAATGGCTTCACACATTGTACCCATGTGGGGATTCAAACCCGGGTTTTAGGCGTGACGAGCCAACGCTTTAACCACTAGGCTACCCCACCGCCCCCTGCCCAGAGGAAGAGAAACAACAAGTATCATGTTCGATGTTGATATCATACAGTGTGGGGGTCGAACAACCGAATTTCCGCATTTACGATTTCAATATTCTCCGTTGTGGCTTTAATCCAAGTTGCCAAGATTTACACTGCTTAGGTCCACATTCGTTTCCCAAACTAGATTCTGCTTGTTGTAAACAATGTTTTATCAAAAGACTTCTTGCAGTGTATGCGTTTTTCAGGTTAGGAGTACATGAAACCTTTTTTGAAAAGATGGCAAATATTTCTTCACAAAAACGACAAGAATGCTCGCTGGTCTGAACAAAGAGATTCTAGCCCTACTTTTTTTAAAACATGACTTAGACTGATATCCAACTGTCCAAATGAAAAATAAGGGCTTAAATTGGTATTCTGATGTCCATGTAGAGCTATTTACTAACATTTTCTCTTTTCGGCTGTACAGGGATATCTTTAATATTTTCCATGAATATATTAATATATTTAGTTTTAACGACACACTGTCTAACAAGAATCAAAATTTGTTATATTAGATCAATATATTAATCTGATATTTGTCCCCAGCCGTGATATTGCTGGAATATTGCTAAAAGAGACGTAATACTGAAATTCACCCACTCACTCGCTCGAAACAGTGCTGCGGTGCTGACACTTCGTCAACAATTTCAGACAAGACCGCCACTTAACACAAACATGCATACAGAGGAGAATGTAATGATTGCACCAAAATGTAAGACGTCGAACTGTGTGCACTGTGTTTGCTTATTAACAAAAAACAAACGCACAATTGTGAATCATTACTGCATTACACAGCAGTTAAATTAACTTTTCACAAAAAATCAACTCTGAGTATCAGGTACCTGCTGGGCCTGATTTTTTTTTAAATTCCTAGGCTGTACAGTTTTTCAACTGTGTCATCAAAATACGAATGATTTATCATCAAACGGAAAATGAACGCTTCAAAAAACTGCATCCGCTATCAGATTATTATAAAGAGGAGGATTTTGTTTTTTTCTAACGTACAGGGACATTAAATCGATAAAGTTAATGATTGCCTCGAGGGTAGTGCAAATGGCGTCATAGTTCGACGCACCACCCTTTGGCGTAAAACGTACGCATGTTGCTTAAAAGAAAGTAATTTATTCTTTTTATTTTCTACATATGATACATATAAGAATGAGCTTCATTTTACCGCATCGTATCAATGACAGGTCGACTAACATACAATCTTGACAGACCACCTCCATGGTTTAGTCAGTGTTTAAACTCCCAAAATTCCAAGCCAGACAGCCGGACTGGTAACTTTAAAAGATTACCAGTCCGGATACAAACTTGCCTGTCCGGTTTTCAACAATAAAAACTTTGACTGCCATTTCCAACTCGCGCAAGCTCCGTTCACTATTT